AAAAATAAATAAATATTAAAAAAAAATAAAAAAAGTAAAAAAACAAATGTGGTTGAGAGGCTGAGTAGAGGTCAGAACAGGGAGTCTTCCTCTTTTCATGAAATGCTGGGATTCAACCCAGGACTTCAAGTATTCTAGGCAAGTGTGCTACCACAGAACCAGATCCTCCCTAGATTTTTTATGTCTTATTTAAAAATTTCAGACAAGTTCTCTCTATGTAATTCATGCCGGCTGTGAACTCATTATATAACCCAGGACAGTCTCGAACTTGCCACGAGCTGCCTTCCTCAGCCTTCCTCAGCCTCTGGAATGCCGGGGTTACCCGGGCACAACCTCGCTAGGCTCAAGGTTATACAGGGTTGTTGTTGTTGTTGTTTTGGCTAGCTGAGGCTGCCTTAAGGGTGTGTAGGGTGCAGATGAGGAGCTGGGAATCGAACCGCGTTTGAGTTTGCCCAAGCAGGGGTTTTAAACAACCAAGCTGGACCTAGGGAGATAGCTCGGTAGAATAAGCGCTTGCCTTATTCTGTTTCGTTATTTTTTTTTTCTACAGTTTTATTGATAAACATATAGTGTTTCGTCATTTTTTTAAACAAAGTTTCACTGTGCAGTTCAGACTGGCTTTGCGCTCACTTTAGAGCCCAAACTGGTCTCGAACTCGTGACGATCCTCCTGATGGAAGTCTGGGCATAGTCTTCAAGAGAAAGCCCATTGGTCCTCCCCAAAGACAGAGGCAGACATCTTCCGGGCATAGGATCCCACCTGGCCTTAACATCTGGCCGCTCCTGCCTGCACCCGCCGCGGGGTGGCTCAGCGGACGCCGCCGGCTGACGGGGGCGGATCATGGGGGCGTGGCTTCCTGGACGCACCCGCCACCGCGGCCCCGCCCCCAGCATCCCGCCCCGCGGCGCGCAGGGCAGCAGAGAAGCGTCATGGCTGCTTTGGCCCCTCCGGGGTTAGAGGAGCTGCTGGCCGAGGCTCGGCGGGCCTTCCGGGAGGAGTTCGGGGCCGACCCTGAGCTGGCGGTGTCGGCGCCGGGCCGCGTCAACCTGATCGGGGAGCACACGGACTACAACCAGGGCCTGGTGTTGCCCATGGCGAGTGAGGGGCCCATGGTCGCTGGCCAGATACGGGGAGGGGCGGGCAACCGAGGGTGGGCGGCCAGCCGGACGCGCCAGCTTGCACGTGCGAAGAGAGGACGCCTCTCCTCTTCAGCCCGTCCTCTTGGGGGCTGCTGATCCTCGCCCTCTGCCTGGGAGAGGGTTTCCCTCCAATGTATAGTCAGGGCCTTTGGCTTCCAAAGTCCCCAGCCATAGACCTCTCGCTTCAGCCAGTTAGTTTATTTACAGAGGAAGAAAGAAACCCAGAGACAGGTAGAGACCTGCTCAAGATCTCACAGCTGGTTCTTGGTGTGTTACCTTCCAGCTTTCAGTCGGGTGCTTTTAGCCACACCTCTCATCTTGGAAAATGTACTGCCCAGCATCACAAGCCATCCCGCAATGGGTAGGCTTGGGGCTTCCTTGGTCTTGTTTTCTGGTGGAGCTAGTTTGCTCTTTTCCTAGCCTGCCGGAGGGCAGAGTCCAGCTTTGTTGGCTGCCTGCAACTGGCCCCACCCCCTAAAGCTCCAGGGGACAGACCTCCGAGCTTCAAGCCCCCAGAGCCGGTGTGGCACTCTGGCTAGAGTTCAGCCACACCTCATTCCCTCCCAGTTGAGCTCCTCCCAGTGGTCCCATCTATCTCCAGAAGCAAAACCTTGGCTGGAGGGCATCACTGGAGGGGCTTAGTCCATCAACTGGTCTGATATTCTGACTCTCCTACCAGGCACTGGAGCTTGTGACCCTGCTCGTGGGCAGCCCTAGAGCAGACGGGCTTGTCTCTCTTCTCACCACTTCTAAGGATGCAGATGAGCCTCAGCGACTGCAGTTTCCACTGCCCACAACCCAAAGGTCACTGGAGCCTGGGACCCCCCACTGGGCCAACTATGTCAAGGGGGTGATTCAGCACTACCCAGGTATGGGGCTCAGAGCCGGATCAAATTCCTGATGGAATGACATGAATTTGTATGATGTGCTACAGGGAAGACTTGCAGGTTGGAGCATGCCATTTTACAGATGAAAAAACTGATACCGGGAAGGGTTTCCAAAACTTGACTTGAGTTTCTCTTTACACAAGTGATGTAGCCAGAATTCAGACCCCAGCTTGCTGGGCTTTAGAGCCCTAAATCAGGAGGACAACTAGGAAGGCTGTCCCAGCACCTTCAGGGGTAGGAGCAGGGAGGGTGATGGGTTCTTTGGCCCCTGCAGGTTGCTGGTGGCCTCTGATAGTTGAGACACATAAGCTGGAAGCAGCTGCCAGTGAGTTGTCTCCCTTTCTGCCAGTACACACTGCTATAGTCCAGCTTACCATCACCATTTTTCCCCTGCAGCTTCTCCCCTCCCTGGCTTCAGTGCAGTGGTGGTCAGCTCAGTGCCCCTAGGTGGTGGGCTGTCCAGCTCTGCATCGCTGGAAGTGGCCACATACACCTTTCTCCAGCAGCTCTGCCCAGGTACCACCTAGGCTCCAGCCCCCGACCTGCCCTCCTTCCCTGAGGTCTTTGAGATCTTCCCATCCTGGCTTGGGGAGGGGGAGTGGGCCCTAGATTCCCCACCTCACCCTGTGCTGCAGACTCGGGGACAGTAGTTGCCCGGGCCCATGTGTGTCAGCGAGCAGAGCACAGCTTCGCAGGGGTTCCCTGTGGTATCATGGACCAGCTCATCGCTCTGCTGGGGCAGAAAGGCAACGCGCTGCTCATTGACTGCAGGTCAGGGGTTTCCCTTGTTACCCTCCTGCCTTGTGATCAGGTGTTCCTGGGTGGAGTGTGCCCACCATCTGGCCTGGCCAGTGGACCCTTGGTTCTGTCATCTCTCTCAACTCTTTAACTCCATCCTAGGTCCCTGGAAACAAGCCTAGTGCCTCTGTCGGACCCCAAGCTGGCTGTGCTCATCACTAACTCCAATGTTCGCCACTCCCTGGGCTCCACTGAGTACCCCCTGCGACGACGGCAGTGTGAAGAGGTGGCCCGGGCGCTTGGCAAGGAGAGCCTTCGGGAGGTGCAGCTGGAGGAACTTGAGGGTAAGAGTTGAACCTTTCCTGGAGATGGCTGGGCTCCATGCTGGTCCCTGTGTGTGGCTTTGACCCTGCTACCTGTGCCCTGAAATCTAGGGCCATTCCCCATGCTCTGCCCACTTTCCCCCAAATACTGAAAACTTAGGGCCCCGATCTCAGCAGAGCTGCTTGAAATCTTTTTATTTATTTTTGTGGTATTGGGGATCAAATTGAGGGCCGGTATATCTCAGACAAGTCCTCTACCACTGAGCTATACCTTGAGTCCTGCTTGAACTCCTCTAATACACTTTTGTGGCCTCTTGAGGGTTGTACTGTGTCCCACTCACCTTAAAAGCCCCCATAAGTTGGGAGTTGCTTACAGGTGTTGTTCATGGAGCACTGCTGTGCCAGCCCCCTTCAGGGATCCCCGAGTGATGGAGTGATGCTGTTGTCCACTCTGGAGAGGAGTTCTTTAGAATGAGGCTTGCACTTGCCCGCTTCTTAGGGTCCCTTCACTGAACACTGCTGTCCACTAACCCCACCAGAGCCTCTGCCTACTTCACCAGGCCCATATGCAGTGGCAGACAGGGCTGCTGACTTTTTTTTTGGCGGAACCGGGGATTGAACTCAGGCCCTTGCGCTTGCCAGGGAAGCGCTTATTCCACTGAGCCATCTCCCTGGCCCGGGGCTGCTGACTATTGTTCCTTCCTAGCGGGCAGAGAGCTGGTGAGCAAGGAAGGCTTCCGGCGGGCACGGCACGTGGTGGGTGAGATCCAGCGCACTGCCCAGGCAGCAGCTGCCCTGAGCCGTGGGGACTACAGAGCCTTTGGTCGCCTCATGGTGGAGAGTCACCATTCACTCAGGTGAGGCCCTCTGCTGCCCCACACCTCCCAGGCATAGGTGAATCCCAAGCCCATTCCTCCTGTATCTTCTCTTCAGGGACGACTATGAGGTGAGCTGCCCTGAGCTGGACCAACTGGTTGAAGCTGCATTATCTGTCCCTGGGGTTTATGGTAGTCGTATGACGGGTGGTGGCTTTGGTGGCTGCACAGTGACCCTCCTAGAGGCTTCTGCTGCTTCCCATGTCATGAAGCACATACAGGTGGGTGCACACCGGACCCTGGACGGGCAGGAGAGGAGGTTCTGGAGGCACTGTCTCCTACTCAGACTCTCCTGCCTGTCCCCTAGGAGCAGTACAGTGGGACAGCCACCTTCTACCTCTCTCAGGCAGCGGATGGAGCCACGGTCCTGCAATTGTGATGCCCCCAGGATGGCTCAGCTGGTGCAACAGGCTTTTCCACTCTGCCTCTGGCACCCTCTTTCCACAACTGGGTGCTCAATAAACTTGTGCCTCAGACCTGGAACCTGCCTGCCTCTAGAGGTGGGTGTGTTCAGGGCCAGAGAAGGACTGTCAGAATTGCCTTTTTACCTCAGGCTGGCACCTTGCAGGAGAATGGACAGGACAAAGCCAGGCAATAGCAAAGTCTTTTATTAAGCGCAGAACAAATGCTGGGGCCTTGAGTTGGTCTGAGCTCTTTGGTTACAAATGGGTCTGGGCTGGTGGCTAAAAGGGGAAGCCTGAAGAGTCTCCTGGACCTTTGGGCCTTCATGCTTCCCAGAGAATACCTGCCCCTGCCCTGTGGTAAGCATGCAGGTAGGCTGGGCCCCTCGGGTCTTAAGGATGCTTCAGCTGAGAAGGTGGGCCAGGATGAGAAGGCAGGAAGGGCCCAGGTTTTGAGGCATTGCTGGGGTTGGGGGGCGTTAGGTTTGGAAGAACTGTTGGTCCACCTGGGTGCTGAGCGTTCCACTGGTGGTCAGCGTCCGGCTCACAAACTCCTGCGTCACGTGCCGAGTGAGGGAGCCACCTACCTCCAGGTGCTGGGACCCCAGGGTCAGTCCATCTACAGGGGAAGCAGTTAGGATGATCCTGCCTGTCTGGATGATCCTGGATATCCCTGCCCACCCCTGTGCCCTCTGGAGCCACGATCCTCTGCCGCATCACTCACCCATTAGGAAGGGCTCGGTGCTGCTGCTGTGAGTGGTGGTGATGCTGCTGTACTCGCCTTGCAGTGGGGGCTGGAGGAGCCCAGGGTGGCCACTCAGCTGCGGAAAGGGACCTGGAGCAGGCAGATTGGCCAGTCAGGGGGTGGCCAGAGAAGCATGGCCAGAGACATAGCAGGAGTCCCAAAGGGGAGCAGCCTACCTCCATCCTGGGACTCAATAGTGATGATGCCCTCACGCTCTGGCCCAAAGCCCTCCGTGGTCCTGGCCTGCACCTTGAACTTGTAGGGCACGTTCTCGCTGAGGCCAGGCACCGTCAGTCTGCTTTCCAGGTTGTCTCCATCCACCCGGAATGTGGTGGCTGCCCCTGAACAGGGACGTTGCCTTCAGCCCTGATGACCCCTTCTCCACCCCCACCCCCATGACAACCCCTGTCCCCAGGGTGTGCAGTACCTCCTCTTTTTTTTTTTCTCCCCCAGAACCAGGGATTGAACTCAGGCCCTTGTACTTGCCAGGGAAGTGCTTATTCTGCTGAGCCATCTCCCCAGTCCTCATACCTCCTCCTTGAGCCAGCTCACAGGTCACCAGGTAACCCAGGATATCTCCATTGGGTCTCCGGGGCCGCTCCCAGCTCAGCTGCAGCGAGTCAGGGCTCAGGGCGGTGAACACCAGTGGGCCTGGGGCACTGGGAGTGCTCAAGGTGAAGGTGGACCCTGGAGGCAGCACAGTGAGGATGTCAGCATGGGGGTGCTTGGTGGGCTTGATGGTGCCACTGTGGGGGCAACCTGCTCACCTGGCAGAGGACAGAGTGGGCTTTGTGGGTGCACTTGTGACTCAATGGTGATGACACCCTCACGCTCCCGGCCCCAGCCTTCCTGGCTCTGGGCCCGCACTCGGAACACATATGAGTGGTTGGGCAGGAGGTCTTCCACCACCACTGAAGTCTGGCCAGGGTTGGGGATGTTGAGCCGATGCAGCTCACCTGCAGGGTGAGGCAAAGGCAGAATGTAGGGCAGCTTTCCTGCCATCCCTGGCCTCCCTTCCCTGGGAGCCCAGGTTATGGCATTTCAAGTGTATCTGTCCAGATACATGCCACTTCCCAGTTCCTAGAAGGCCACTCAGGCCAGCTCAGGGTCCAGGAGTCTTTATTAGACAAAACCTAATGGGGATGGTGAGAAACCTAGGGAGATGGATGGAGCTCAGAAGAGGAGACAGCTGCTGGTGGTGTGCTGCACACCTGTAACCCCAGCACTCAGGAGGCTGGGGCAGGATTGCTTAGAGTTCAAGACCAGCTTGGACTGTATATAGGGAGATCTGGTCTCAAAAACACCAAAAAGGCAACAAAGGGGAGTGACATGGTGGGAGAAGCCTCAAAATGGTTGGGTGGGGCCTTCCATGTTCTGGGGGCCCAGGTGGATTCTGGACCCACTTGAGGTGCCTGTGTTCCCATGGGGCCACCCCTGTAGCCGGTAGCTGCTCTGCCTCACCGCCATTCAGCAGCTGGTACTCCACGCTGTAACCCAGCAGCACACGCTCGCACTGTGGCTCCTGCCAACTCACTTTCAGAGATGTGGGCCCCAGGGCTGAGAACACCAAGCGGGTGGGAGTGTCGGGCACACCCACAGCTGCACGTGAGTCTGGAGACAGGAAGCTGCAGTCAGTCCGAGAGGCAGGGCTGGAGTCTGGGTGGAATCAGCTCTGCTCCTAGTCTCTCTTGCCTGCTGGCCTGTCTAGGTACACAGGCTGCTGGCTGGGCCACTGGCTTACCCTGCAACACCCTGTCCAGGCTGCCCCGCACCTCCCACACATCCTCAGAGTGGGTGCAGCCCCATCCTGTGCCAAGAGGGCAAGCCCTGTGGGCCTACAAGCCCGACCCCACCTCTTCTGCAGGCTGGCCCTCTCCTTGCCCCTGCCTGGCCCCACACCCTAGCAGGGCAGAGGCTGTGTTAGGCATCAGCGCTGATGAGGATGGACAGCAGTTAGCTCCTGGGAATGGCGTGAGGCTCAAGTGCTGGCTGTGATGTGGAGCATGGTGATGTGACGTGGTGATATGGAGGGTGGTGGACAGCCATGGGGACACAGTGATGGAGACCCCTGTACTACCTGGGCCCCACGGGGGCGCTGCTGGCTGCCCAGCCAGGATTATGGAGTCTCGAGAGCCCCTGGAGGGGGGGAGCCCCTTCATCTGAGCCCGACTCCAGGACCCCAGGGCCCAGGACAGCGGAAGCCTGCTCCTCCCGTCTTCCCAGATGGGAGGGAGGCCTAGGGCGGGACAAAAGAAGTGTGAGAGGGCAAGGAGTTTTGTGTGCCCACGTGTGCTGGAGACAGGCAGTTGGGTTGGCAGGCCAGGTGGTTGAAGGGTGGAAGGTTGGCTGGTGAGGTGGATTGCTGACATTCACTCACCCTGGGAGGACAGAGATGTGAGGGTGGAGTAGTCCCGGGGTAGTGTGCCAGAGTGGGAGTGCTCCGTGCGGGTCAGTGAGTGGTAGTCCCGAGTGAGGGTGGAGGATGTGCTCAGTATGTGTCGCGACAGATGTGGGCTCAGGTGGGTGCCGTAGGCAGCATTGGCTGCTGTCATCCTGTGCAGGGAGTTGGCACTGCCAAGGAAGGCAAAGTCCGTCCGGCCATTCACCAGGTGCTCTGCAGGGGAGAGATCAGTAGGGAGGCTTGCATTAGCCCTGAGACTTATGTCTGGAGTCTGGAGTATCCTAAGGTTCCCTGACCTCTCAGGAGCCTTGCAGTAAATTCGGCAGGGCCTCTCCCAGCTGCCAGGGAGAAGAGGCCTTTTGTCCTCTGGCTCCCTGGGAGAGCCAAACCCAACAGGCTCCACCTAGGGGACTCCTGCATCAGCCCAATCTTGAGCCCAGAGTCTACCCCTGGACACAGCAAGCTGCCCTGGGATTGCCCCCCAGTATTGGGGCTCAAAGCCAGTAATGCTTTATCACCGCACCCCTTCTTCTTTTTTTTTTTTTTTTCAGAACCGGGGATTGAACTCAGGCCCTTGCGCTTATCAGGGAAGCGCTTATTCCACTGAGCCATCTCCCCGGCCTGGAATAAGGACTTTTTTTTTTTTTTTTTTTTGCTCCTTGAATGCCTTCAGGGCACTTTTGCATGGCTGGAGTGTTGTGGGGATCGAACTACAGCAAACTGAGGCTGCCAGCATTGTGGAAGCAGCCACTT